TTGTCTCTCATTAAAAAGTTTCTCCGACTCCAAAACAATAAATAATTATTTGTTGGAAATAGTAATAACGTTATAATATATAAAAATTAAATAAGTAATATCCCTTTAATTTATTATATAAACTTGAATGTGTATACTACATTTTAAAAACATTAATTTGTCAACTGATACAATTTGAATTAATTATAAAATTGATATTTTAGCAAAGTTGTCCACATTTATATATTTTTATGGTCCTGTTACTATTCTATCATCTAGTGATATACTGATGTTTATACACACTGCGGTGTTGATTTCAAAACGGATACAAGATACTAAAATAATCAACCATCCCGATTGCAAGAGAAAGATTGATCATGAAAAACAAAGGTATGTTTTGCTGTATCTGATAAATTATATATTTAATGTTATTATTATATATATTTGTATTTATTATTATAATTTGAATAAAGACAGAAAACATTTTATACTATATTTGGATTGAGTAATTAACTTATTACAATGGTAGTTCGATGCTTAGTATTATTAGTTGGTACTTAAATAAAAATATAGGTACTAAGTTATAAAATAAATATTGTTTTATGTTACAGATTCGTGTTATATTTGAAATTATTCATTGTAATGGGTATAAATTGGATGGCTGAAATTTTGTCTTGGGCATTTGAGGAAAATGATTTTGGTTTTAATATATTATGGAACATCACAGATTTCGGAAATGCATTGCAAGGAGTGTTGATTTTTGTAATATTTGTATGCAAAAAACGCGTCTTAAGATTGTTAAGCGAAAAGCTTTGTCCACGTATGAATCTTTTCAAGAAGTCTACTACATCATCAACTAGAAATCGCTATAGTAGTACAATATCTAAAACTACCACTGTATCTTGAATTCATGTAAGAATACAACTGAAATAATTTTTCAGAAAATGATAGTACCTAGTACCCTATGTTTTATATAGTACGAATTTTAAGTTTATTAACTGTGATTTATAAAATAGTTTATATAGTTTGTAAAAAGTATCGTAATTTATGAATAATTTTTATCTTGTAAGGACGTGGATGTTATTACAAAACTCTAAGATATATAGTTTTAGTAAAATAGTTATACAATATCAAAAAACAAATTAAACGTTAAAAAATAAATTACCAATTATAAAAAATACTTTTAAAAAATTAGATTTTTAATAACTTTGATATTATATAATATACACAAAATAATTAACTAATTTAAACAGATTTTTATTAAGTATTTTACTACTCAAAAATATATTTTTGATTCTCTGCGTAATCGATTGTATATGAAGATTTTTTATTAAAAATGTATTTCCTTATATTTTAAAACATCATATTACTAGTAAAGACTTGCTATGATTTTTTTTAAATTAATCATTTTAAAAACAGAATTTAGTACGGAATTATTGATTTATAATAATACTCCAGCAAATATATCTACACCAAAATAACGTATGATAACTTCTTAGTCCAGCAATTAAACACCAATATTATTTTGGATATTTTTTTATTTCCTCCATAATTTTTCTAATATTAAGAAGAAACTATAAGTCATTTAAATGTTGTCATCAATTGGTTTTTTTGTTAAAATATAAATAGATTTTGTGTTATTTGATAACAAATTGAATACCGATAACAGAACGGCTAAGCAGATGGCTAATTGATAGATGATCATCAAAAATAATAAATATAACAAATGGATAACAAATAATTCTTAAATGATAGAAATTAAGGCATTTAATTGTTGTAGCAAAGTTTTTAGATAAAAAAGTTATGAAGAACTAATTTAAAAGTACTTTTTTAATAACGTTGAATTTTTAAATTACTTATTTATTTAATCCAGTTATATTGAAAAATTAACTTTTGAATGTATTTTTGGAACCTTGACTATTTAACTGATTCCTTGACAAAGTTTGGATAGTGAAGACATTTCCATATAAATCGCAGTCTGCTGAAAATATTTTATTACATTTTTTTCAAACAAGATTCAAATTTTTTCAATAACCAAATAGAGATAAGTACGAAGAACTTTATATTACTTTGTATAGAATTTTTGTCATATTAAAATAATTTAATCTATATTTTACAACAAAAAAAAAAAAACATTTTTAAATATCTAACAATAACTCATACATTATTGAAAATTATATCATTTAAACGAACTGTTTGTCTCTACGATTATTTATTTTTTTGATTTACAATGAAAAAAAGTATATTTTAATTTATATTTAATATATTTATTTTTTTAAATTGAAATTGTATTTTAAGGGCTTTGAGCTCAACGAACTCAGTTATTACATCATCAAAATGTATTGTCAAAGCCATTCTCCATAGATAAAAGAGCACGCTGCGTTTTTAGTAAATTTCCCAAGTTACAGCTTCTGCTAGTCACTGCAATAGTACAAAATATTCGGGAACTACACACGTTTACAAAAATTGTACATTTTTCGTATAAATAGAATTTAATAATTCGAGTGGTATCATTACAATGTTTTTTTGAAATGTTCTCAGATATGCATTTCATAACATATTTTCAAATAAATCAGATTTGTATTTTAATACAAATGATTTTATTTTCAATTCCAATTCTTCATTAGTCAGTGATAAAAAGTTTAATAATGACTAAAAAAAGTTACAGATATTATGACCGCTTGAAATCGATGTTCAAAGTCTGATAGAATAAAATTTATTGTGTAGTAAATCACATAATTTCTAAATACCATTTCAGGTTTCAGTATTTTCAAAAGTTTCATCGGTAATTGTTTTTTTTCATTTTTTTTTGTCTAGTTTTTATTAGTCTATTATCTCTGAAATTTGGTACTATTTGCATTTCCTTAATTATTTAATGCGTTTCGAATAAAACTTGAGGTCAACCATTTCGTATATTTTGTAGATCTTTTTATAAATCTGAGAAAATTTTAATTTCTTCATTTAATGATATTCTTGTTTTTTGTAAAATAACATTTCTTTGATCAATATACAGTAATATTTTTACCAAAACGAAGATATAATAAAAATAATAAAAATAACTAGAATGTTAAATATAGAATGGATTGTTAAAACATAATCATAATAAATAATAATTGATTGCACGTGAATGTCTTACTAATCCTATTTGTAAATTGTTTTTATGAGCTGGGTGTTAATATTATAATTTTTATCATTCATTATTTTGTTCGTGTTTTATATTAGTTCTACTGGAAACAATGTAAATCAGTACTTTATAATAAGCGATTGTTTTACAACATAGATATTAATAATTATTTTAAATTATTATTAAATTATTTTAATTATAATATGATTTTTTTCACGATATTCATTCAAGTATTCGTTACTCTACTGTAACCTGCAAGTTGCAACGACAGAAAAATAATAACAAAGAAATACTTACTTAAATTAAAACACCTAAGGTAACATTTTATTATTTTTATAGTTGTATAAAGTCATACGTTTCATTTTTTATCGTCCATAAGTTCTTGGGGAGAAGGCAGAGCCCTCCACCTTTTTTTGTTATTCTGATTAATTAATGATATTAATAAAATTGGTGTTTAAGCACTTATATTTTTACGACTACATCACTGGTGGTAACAACCAATGGACAATCAGGAATATAATGTCCAGGCCTTTTGATTTTTGGTACTATGTTCATTTTTCGTAATTATGCAAACAGCATTAATTATAGTTTCTCTAATTTGGCCGGATACCAGTTAACTAATAATACATCGTTAATACGTAGCTATCGTGTGTCTTTTGTCTGAACATCCGGTATTCGCACGACCTAAACCACAACTGATCGATACCATGTTATCATGCGTTGTTGAGTCAGTCTACATATTTTTAGACAGTTTGTTTTGTTTTCAACTAGAAAACAGTTCTTCGATCCTTTGCATGCATGTAAGTGAAAAACGTATTCTGCGCGGGACAATCAAGAATGTGGATATAGCACCCAAACCCGTCACCAACCGCTTTGGGATGAATAGTTTGTACTCACCTAGTGAGTAATTTTTATTTTCATATATTATATAATTTATAAGATAAAACTATTATTGATAGTAAAGATTAGGTTCGGAAGTTGTAGGAGAATACATTTTCGCCTTATTCTAAAACGTATTTTTTAGTTTGTAAAATTGTCGGCATATTATAATTGTATAAACATTGAAGTAGGTTTTACAAAGCACGGACAAATTTATATCACGCGAAAGTTCACACACAACCGTCAACTGATGGGAATATAAAATAATCTAATACCCTTACTATTAGATTGACGATATCGTCAATAACATAAGCAAATTTTATACAAAAGATAATATGATATAGTGCCTGTGTTATAAAGATAATTACATTCCATTAAGATGATTGAGATCGTTGATATAATGACAGTTAGGTATGGCGACTACTACGTTAAATAATCGAAAATAAAATAAAAAAAAAACTTCAATTTTTTTTTTAAAAAATTATTACACAGGCATAAAAATCTCATAAAAATTCAAAATATGTACTTTTTTCTAAAATTGCCAAAATATGCAAAAAAAAATGTATTTTTAATTTTTGTATTTAAACTTGTTTTTGTATAAAACGGATTTCTAGCTTGGTCTGCTATAAATTAAGAGTATACAGAAAAATATGCAACTCCTACAACTTCCGAGCATTAGTATTGATAACTAGCAATTTTTTTAATCTAGTAGACAACGATACAGTGTAACAATTATAGTTGTAAGGAATAACCGATATAGAGGCGGTTATCAGTTAATAACACTCAGTATTTTATTCCTGATTCCACTCGATCCGAACAGATGCTGTAGACTAGTGCACGTTGACGTTTGAATACGGTCGATCATCAAGCATTCAGAATACAATCGATCTGTCACCTTGCCGTACGTAATTCCCAACAGGTGGTTTATACTGTAAAAAATTTCTATTATTTTTATCTACCACGTCCGACATAAGTTTCGAGCGTTTTTATTCGCACACGTTTCGCTCAAATATAAGAGATATCCTTCATAGTCCCAAATGATGGGTTCACCTGTGCGACAGCCGATGACGACGTCGTCAACGATTTTGATACTACTTCTGCTTCTACCAGTAATGGCCAGCAGCACGAGTACCACGGAAACGTGTCCGATGAACGTATACGAACCAGCGCCCGAAGGCTTCCGTCTGAAAGACGACATTTTGTTGGCCGGAAACCCCGAACAACGATACTTACCATCCCAGTATCGTCGTCGCATTGACGGCCACGGTTATGAGGTATGCTCGTGCATACAGAAACCGTGTGTGATCAAATGCTGTAAGCCGAACAAATTGTTTATCGGCAATAAGTGCTCAATATCCAACGAAACGCACGAGGAATTCGCGGTAAGTTCTATACGACGTATTAACCCTGCGCGGTCTTCGTTTCTAGTTTCGCGACCGACATTCGTAGCTTATCGAATAGGGACAAATGAACGAAGACGTTTGGCCGTGGACACAAATGGACGTCAAATATATATATATATATATATATATATATATATATATATATATGTTTATAAGTTATAAAACCATTGATATTTTATGTTCTTAATATAACTAATGGTATCGTATCATAATATCAAACCTTATCGAATTTTATCATTTTGGTAATAGATACCTAACCTAACCTAACCTTTTATATCAATATATAACTTATTTGTTTTTATAACTTGTAATAATTTTCACACTTTATCGAAACACGGTGATACACGAGACACGAAAATACACATTATTATCTATAACCGTGTTAGTCGTGTACAAATTGCATTCAAGTGTACATGTAAGATGTCATTTATTAATTCAAATCGCGATGGTGAAGTTTTTTTGAATGAATATTTTTGACATTAAAATTTAAATATTATAATAAATATAAATAACTTATTTATTTTATTTACTGATTTATATATATATATATATGTTTTTTTTTACGTCCATTTGTCCTCACATCCAAACAGCACGTCCAAACGGCTACGTCCATTTGTCCTAGATCGGTAGCTTATTGTGTTAAAAATGTATTGTAACAACGATTAGTATTATTCGCAATCGATCCTGTTTTTTTTTTTTTGTCACCAGTACAAATCTAAAACTATAGTCAAGAATTACACTTCTGAAACGGCTATTTCCTTTATTAATTTATTTAATTTAATTTTTTTTTTTTTTTACGGTAGAGATCGAATTTTTGTGAAGAGGAAAAGGATAGGGTCAAATATTTATTTTAACAGTAAAAGGAATAGGTGAAAAACAGAAAAGGATCATCTTGACCATTTAGAGTAATTATAAACTATTCATTTATAAATCATTGCTAAACCCCTAATTGGATATACCTACCAAATTCAACCCAAATACAACCCATTCAGGCTTTTCAATCAATTAATCTCTGGTCGACAATATATGCGCCATGAAGTTTTTCATATACTTTACAGTAACTAAGAAATATAAAAAGAAAGTTTTTAACGCTACAAAAATTATTACAAACAATTCCCAAATAAACCTATCACACAAATCAACTCATCTCTTTCATAGTTGGTAGTGAATCAATATCCGGAAATCCTCCTTCTCTAGTTGCCTAAAACACCATGGTGTCTCTGATATTAGGATCTCTTGTATCTTGACTCCTATATTTTAAAAATGTCTTCGTATTTTATAGTCTTCCTTTTCAATGTTTTTTGCATAATGTGTTTAATAGTATATTGAATAAATATAAATATTTTTTCTGTTAAATACTAGATTTACAAAAAAAAAATTACAGATTCCTTCAAAACGAATAGAAATCAAAGAAAGTATACGTCTTATTTTCTATTGTCTTTCATTAAAATGGGATGTTTGTTTAAATTATTCATTAATTGATAAATTGTATATCAACTATGGCGCCTGTCAATACATTTAATTTATCGGTCATCATATGCCCTATTTACTACAATTATTAAATATTTAATGTAGATTATTTTTATCTGAAATTCTAAAGTTAAGAAATATTACATGTTTTATAGGTACCAAAGTTAGTAACCGAAAACGGGACTGTTGAGACATACGAAAGAGACAAATTTCATATAATTTATGGACTACAAAAATGTATTGATAATGCTTCAAAATATCTACTGACAGCATCAAATAATGATGGAAATTTCGTGGTTTCCGAAAATGGGTGGTTATTCAACGAATTGGGATTAGATATTGCTGAACCTGGTCAATTTTGCTTAGAACAATTTTACGATTTGGAATTTCACATCGCAACCATGGTGTGTTCAAGGGAAAATTCAAACAATGATATTAACATGTATTATATTGTTTCAATGGCACTTTCACTACCATTTTTGTTGATGACGTTCTTGGTATATGCACTTATTAAGAGGTTACGGAATTTGCATGGAAAGTCCCTCATGTGTCACATAACATCGCTTTTTGTTGCTTATTCAAGTTTAATACTTGTTCAACTTACAATCGAAACAGCTGACAATTATTTTTGTGTTCTATTAGGTAAGTAGATTATTTTATGTAATACGATCTATAATTCATATAACTCTTTTTCTACGACATTTTTTATACAATAGATTGAACAAATAAAAAATAAACTTAATAAATTAATTATTGCATAACTCTGAATTTATCATAAAATATATATGAAAAACAAGTAGCATCATATATTATATTGTATTATATAACAGTCAAAATGATAGTTAATATCACCTAATGATTAATACCACCTATATTATATGTATTACCTAATTCACTACTTTACACGATCTAACTATAATATATATCTTATATATTTTATATTTTTATTCATTTTACTGTCGATCAAATTAGTAATACCTATATATAAAATATTGTGTTTAAAAAATTTTGATAAATTTACTATTAAAATTCATTATTGAAATTAATTACGTTTTGGTGCTTTAATTTAAATAGATAACTCATTGAAAAAAATGTCATAAGTGAAAGAATATTCACTATTACTACTATTACTTCCATAATGTTATAAAATCAATAATATTAAATATATTATTATTAATATTATTATAATACTCTTTTTTCAGCGTTTATTATTCAGTTCTCTTTTTTATCAAGTTTTTTTTGGTTAAATGTAATGTGTTTTGACTTATGGTGGACTTTTAGGTAAATTTATTCGCTACTGATAAATCATACTTTTGAATTAAGCATTTAAAATATCTATATAGTAGAATGTATTAATTCATTTTCAGTGAACATCGGCCATTGCAAGGACATTTTAAACAACACGAATCAAAGAAGTTTATAATTTATTCCATATATGCTTGGGGATGTACTTCTTTTATTTCAATATTTACATATTACATGCATCAGGCTTCATTTTCACAATCAAATAATAAATTATATCCAGGATTTGGAAAAGAAAGTTGTTGGTTTAGTTGTAAATACACTTAAAAATTATCTTATTTCAAAATTATAATTTTAATTTGTATATTATAATAAAATTTGTCTATTTTTAGCGACTTTAGCCACCGTAATATATTTCTATGGACCAATTGCTATAATATTAATTAGTAATTTGTTGATGTTTTTGCACGCTGCGGTGATGATTTATAAAAAAATAAAGGATACAAAAATATTCAATCAGTCTGATTATAACAAGAATATCGATCATGAAAAACAAAGGTGTGTACTAATAATTAGATTTTAACAAAATAGTAAAAAATGTATTTAATTTAATTGAATACAAATAACTAAACAAATATAGTCTTATTTTTCAGTTGAATTATTATAATTTGATACAAACATTATTATTAAAAATGTAATTTATCTTGTGATTAAGATTAAACAAAAATATTTTAATTCTTTTATGTCAAATGTTTCAGATTCGTACTGTATTTAAATTTATTTCTCGTAATGGGTGTGAATTGGTTGGCAGAAGTTATATCTTTCGCATTTGGAGAAAAATTTGAAGCTTATATATGGTACATCACCGACTTAGGAAATGCATTACAAGGAGTGTTGATTTTTTTAATCTTTGTATGTAAAAAACGTGTCTTTAGATTGATAAGCCAACAGTTTTGTCCACGTCTTGAACTTTTTAAAACTACTACTGTGTCAACAAGAAACTTTTATAATAGTAGTATTGTATCTAAATCACAATTTGATCTAGAGTTAAATGTAAAGAATATAATTCCAAGTGAAGCAATTTCGGGCAATAACCAAAATTTGACTAATTTATAGTATAATTCCAATGTTTTATGGATAGGTAATTGTGTAATAAAAAGTATGAATAAATAATAGTTATAAAATATGTTTAAGTATGTAAAATTAAAATTAAAATCAATTTTTTTTTCTCACTTTCAGGTATAAAATAAATAGATTCAATAATAGATTAAATACACAATAATAATTCTAAAAGTCGTATATTAACTATGATTTACAAATTTTTAGACAATAGAAAAGATATTAAAAAAAAGTATTAAATTGTTTTTTTAATGGTGCGTTAAAACTAATCACTGATAATAGAACACAATTTATTTATATTTTAAAAACAATAGGTACCTATTACTCCCTGATTCCTCGTCAATCAAATGTACATCATCCCATGTCCCCAAACTAAGTACTAACTAATAATAATAGATTACCAACTATTAAACTTGAGTACAACTGCAATATTAGTAATAAATTAGGACGCGGATTTTTATGTAATAAAAAAATCAAAATATGTAAATATTTATGTTCTTATTTTTGCTAAAATATGTATTAAAAAACGTAAAATATTTAACAAAAAAAAATCGGTATTTTCCATTCATTTTTAATTATTAATTAATAACTATTCATTTAATCATCTTCAATGTTGTCTTCTTCGGAATGATTGGATAAGACGTACATTTAAAGATTTTCAAATTTTAATGTATGGCGGTTGATTTCAAAGTCAACTCGTAGCGGCTGAGGCTGTATTCAACGTCACCCGAGGTTAATGGGGCATATTTCATACCACATACATCGAATGGTGTTACTTCAATATAATTTGACATATTTTATATTATTTATATTAATAAGATTATATCAAATAGTTTTAATTTTTTTTGTAAACCAACATATTACCCAATACGTAGTTTAATTAATTTTTTATATAACTCCAGATTCTACTTGAACTTAATTTCATTAAATTTCTGCATTTTCCACTATCGCGAGACTTTCAACTATTGTTAGATTCAATGTTTCTAATATTTTATTATTTTAACCAAAAAAAAAAAATTTTTGGAAATATTTGCTAAATTATTTTGCAAGTTATTAATTTACATATCAGAAGTAATAGCAATTGTAGTATCTGATTTAAGATTTGAAATATTTTCTTTCATTTAATTCCAATATAAAAATTGTAAATTAAATAAAAACTGTATTGAAATGGTATGAAAATATGAAATATTTACAAAATATATAAATATTAATTAAATATTTAAAAATATGTATTTACATCAAAATATGTGAAAATATGTAAAATAAAAAAGGTCTCATATTATTCAGGGTGTTATGAAACGTGCTTATTTTTAATTAGAATTGAGAAATTCACATTCAATAAATATATGTAATTACATAAAAATCCGCGCCCTACTAATAATAATATATGCATACAACATAATACACTTATTATAATATATATTGTAAATATTTTGTTAAAATAAATGCAAATTATTCTAAGTACATTTTTATTCCGAAGTATCATTTAATCATTAAAATGTATATATATATAATAATATTAGCCATTATTTATTTATTTATATTTACTTTAATATTTATTTCTCAGAAACGCAAATAGGATAACTCACGATGATAAAGGTATGTTATACTAATAATTATGTAATATGTAATATTAATATTAATATTATTAATATTAAGCCCCTTATTTTAATTCAATATAACAAGTAAATATGTATATCCATGTGGCATTGAGTTACTTTACAAGACTCTAGAGCAGTTCTCAGCCGGTGTGCCGCGAAAAATGTTTGATGTTTGTGATTACTAAAAATTTCCTATATATGTACCCAAACAACACACATTTAATACTAACTCGCAACAAAATTAAAAGATCCAAGATAAAATTGCATTAGATGACACGCTTACGGGTGACACACCGACAAACGTGCAATTAAAACTGTACGATTTTTCTGAACAGTTTTATCTGTACAGATAAATCATACGTGTATAGATTAAAATTACGTAGTTTTTAGAATTATACAGTTGTTCGAAAATAAATTGAAAATACCGATTGATAAAACTGTGACAGTTTAATGTCTATTAATTGTGCAGACAACACATATGTAGGTATACTGTACAGTATATTTTTATTTTATTTCAACGAGCTCAGAAATTAATTTGCAGTCATAATTTCAATGCCAGCTGCAAATTGTATTTATCATTTTATAAATATCACTATAATTTATGCGATTGGAGATTGTGATGAACTGAAAACCAAGCCTGGGCAAGTTAATGATAATGAAGTTATGTTAAGTTATGTTGAAGTTAAGTTGTTGTTAAGTTGACGGAAAAAATTTTAAAAAGTTTAAATTTAACAATTAACCTTAATTTTTTTTTAACTCAGTTAAGTTAAAAGTTATATGAACATTTTCAGTTAACTTATTAACTTAAACTGAGTTATTATTATTGTTTTTTTTAATATCTATATAAATACCCAGTTAAATGGTTTAAAATAATATTGAACACAGGAAATAGCCAATATCTTTTCTATACATAGAATTAAATTATTAGGTACTGATAAATAGAATTACGTAGCAGGTACCAAAAAAATACAAAGTAATATACGAAATGAAATAATAACATAAATTTAAAATTTAATAGATGAATTAATATAAGAGAATAAAATATAACTGAAAATACAAAATAAAAAATAATTAAAAAAAAAATAAATTTAAATATATTATATACATTTTTTAACACTCGTCCACCAACTAAAAAATTATTATTTTTATTAAATTATAAAGTTTGTCTCGTACAGTCGTAATATAATAAATAAATCAAGAGCTCCATTACTTTTAATTTTGGATAAATTTTATACGAGTATTAATGTAATATACTGTTAATATAATAATAAATACAAATATTTGTTAAAAAATGTTGAAATAAAACCAACGTCATATCGCAACGCAGTTATTTCGGATTATTATTCGTTTTGATGAAATTACTAATAAATTGTACATTAGTGAGCTTCAAATTGGTATGACGTTTTTTTCTTCAGATTTTGGAAAGTTAAAGTGTTAAATTCTGGTTAAGTTTTGGTTCGTTGAAATACGTAAAAAAAAGTTTTAATAAAGTAAAAGTATTCCAATAAGTGCACTTAAAAATAATAATTTTATCGCATCATATAAGAATTAAACATAGAAAGATGTGGATTCTTAACCTTAATAGGAGTGGACTGACATAAAGATCCACAGACTCATCTACGTCTGTCTTTTTTTAATTATTTATTATGTCCACTTTTTTGGTCTTTTTTTTTTTTACTTTTGCTTTTGCGGCAAAAACATAGCAGATACCTATAGAATATCTTTTATGATAAACAAGTAAAATGTTGTTAATAATCTCAAATTTTCAATACTAAATATACTAACGGTGGTTTATAAATTAAGGCATATTAACTTTTAAAACCATTAACCGTGAAAGCATCTAAAATTATGTAATAGCCAAGATTGGTACTTACAGTAAGTTAAATATAATTAATTATGAGATAAATGACACTTACTTTATAACAAATTGTATCGAGTAAGTATATTGTATTCGAATACTTAAAGCACTTTATTTAACTGGCAAACGATACTTAATAGTTAATATTGAAACTAATTATTCGCTCAGCGAAGAGTTTAAAACACAAATTACTCACTCTAATAAATTAACTAAAAACTAAATTGAATGATCCATATTCCTTTACATTTTATTAGGTTTTCCTTTATTGCACTTATTAATTTTCCGCGAACCGATGGAAAATGTTCTTTTCCATGAAAATATATGTTATCAATAGATACGTCGTTTAACTGATTCAACGAAAATGTGTTATAATTTACATTATTTGAAATGTAAAAATCATGTCTATACTAAAGTAAACATTATTTTCTAATGGATTATCTATTTTTTACAAAATTAGTTTTAGCTTACGGTTTTATAACCTAATAATATTACGACGTGATCTTTTACCGATCATATATACTTAAAATTAATGTTAATTTTTAAATTAACTATCTTATCATGGAAACTTTTTACATACTTATTATTAATATTTTATTTAGTATATTTGCCTTTATTTCTACGTATAATATTATTCCACGACTAAAAGATATGTTTGTTAGTGCTAATTTATATGGAAAAGATTTAAATAAAAAATCTGAGAACAAAATGTAAGTATAAAATATTAGATTTTGTTTATTTATTTTAATTATCATATCCATTTTTTTTTTTAATTATTAATGTCTCAATTAATAATTTTGTCTTGATTTAGACCTGAAGCTTTTGGAGTAGTGTCTGGATGTACATTTCTGATTACAATGTTTGTGTTAATACCAATTATATTTGGTAGACACATATTACAAAATGATACAAGTCTATTCCCCCATAGTGAAGTAATTTTTATTTTCATATCTTTTGTATAGTTCAAAATTAATAATAATGTTAAAATATGTTTAAATCTTAACCAATTATTCAATATAGATATGTAATTTAATGTATTTATTTTTATTTTTTTGTTAAATAATTAAATAATTTGTAATTATACTATATAATTTTAGGTTTTATTCAAACAATAATCATAGGTAAGGTAAGACAATGTGTATATTAATTATTGATTGTATAAAATACTTGATTTTGTTCAAAGTTTAATTTTTGGAAGATTAATAATTTATTTAAAAATTATTATATTTTATTAATGTTTTCAGTTTATAGAAATGTTAGCTGCTCTGTTGTCGATTTGTTGTATGCTTTTATTGGGATTTTCTGATGATGTACTAAACTTAAGGTGGCGACACAAACTATTATTACCAACAGTTGCATCTTTGCCCCTACTTGTTGTTTATTACATTAATTTCAACTCGACTACAATAATTGTACCTAAACCATTTAGAGATTTTTTAGGAGTATCTATTAATTTAGGCAAGTCTTGTGGTTTTTTTTTAATTAATTTATGTATTTAAATTGTTAATTATTTTTAATACATTATTTTATTATTTTACAGGTTTACTTTATTATGTGTACATGGGTATGTTAGCTGTATTCTGTACAAATGCCATAAATATACTAGCTGGAATAAATGGTTTAGAAACTGGGCAGAGTCTTGTTATTGCAATTTCTATTTTAATTTTTAATTCAATTGAACTATCAGGGGATTGTGCTCAAGCACATTTATTTTCATTACATTTCATAATACCATTTATAGCTGTTACTTTTGCTTTGTTAAAATATAACTGGTAAGTTAAATATTTGTTAATTCAATTGATGTAGTAAATTAATTATGTTACAGGTATCCTTCTGAAGTCTTTGTTGGTGATACTTATTGTTATTTTGCTGGTATGACATTTGCAGTTATTGGAATTCTTGGTCATTTTAGCAAAACTATGTTATTATTTTTCATACCACAAATATTTAATTTTTTGTACTCAACTCCTCAGTTGTTTCATTTTATAAACTGTCCTAGGCATCGTATTCCAAGGTAAGTAATGATTAAAGAACAAACGATTTAGGATTTAGCTTTTTTTTTTAATATTAAATACAACTTATCTTGAAGTATTAATATATATATATTTAATAAATACTTTGACCATGCTTTTTAATTACTACGTTATTTAGAATATAGTCTACAACTAACAATTAAAATAATAAACTACTTAAAAATCTTCTCTTGTATATCTTATATTTCCTTATTTACTTATTTATATTGGCAAAAACTTTTTAGGTGTTCACTTTTTTCTAATATTGATCAAAAACTAAACATTTTTAAGATGTTTTGACTTTTAATGTAAATTTTTAAATATTTTACCAACATTATGTCATTACTAAACACTAAATATATAATTTTAATTGCTTATGGAACATTTTTGTTCTCTAATAGTATAATATCTTGAAATATTTTATTAATTAACAAATAAAATATTTATAAACTCTACAGATTAGATAAGTATGGAACACTATCACCAAGTTATGCAGAATGTAACAAAGTTAATATTTCAATAATTGGGAGAATGTGTTTGAAATTATTTTCCTATTTTAAAATAATACACATTGAAGAAAAATCAGATGGAAATATTAAATGTAATAATTTAACACTCATCAATTTGTGTTTAATATTGATAGGACCAACTAATGAAAAAACATTGACTATAATATTATTGGGCATTCAAGTGAGTTTTAATTAAGATATTTTGTACCTGATATATATTACAGTTAAAATCCAAAAACTGTCAAAACTAGTTTCCACAAATCTCTTTAGTTAGTTCTGGTTTTGATTTGATAAACTAGAATTAACTAAGAACCTCACCTTTAAATGCATTTTAACTTATTTTTTTTTTTTAGTTAGAACTAGTCTTAAATATATTGGTGAAAACTAGAATTATCTAGTGAAAAGTATAAATATATGTATGATAGGGTAAAATAATAATAATTGTAAACACGAATCTGAGTAATATATTTTCCCTTTATTAATATTAACACAAACAGCACAACACAACTCATGGCACGATCAACACTGTGGCCATGATGCTAACGAATGAAACAAATTATATCGATACTACTAATAAAACAGGAGGGTGGAGAAATCTTGCCTTCTTGGGAGGAACCCCACATACATATTAGGATTATTACTATATACATTTATTATATTATTTATTTTAATAAGATACACTGTCATGGAATTTAGAATTGCATTTCTACATAAACAGCGATTTGTTCCGCATTATTTTACTGTGCATCTTACAAATCCTTTCTCTAACTCAGTCAATACTTTTGTTGCAGCTACATGGAAGGAAATATGATTGTTTGGAACTTGATTCTCTCTATTGAATTTTTCTTTTCATGCTATAAATTTAGACTTTGATTATTATGAGGTATATTCTGTCAAAGTTATCGTATCCAAGTAATTTGATAGATAAAAGGTTGAAGTAGTCGTAATTGATTTGATAGTCAGACAGTCAATTTTATTGAATAATATTTATAGATCTTCTGTGGTCATGAGCGTTATAGGTTGTACGAGTTAGAATACATTCATTTCAGTTAGAACTAGTTTTACTGACTTATTTAAACATGCGATAAATTCTAGTTTTAAATAATCATAACCGGAATTAACCAAAGAGATTTATGGAAAATATTTTTGACTAGTTAACAGGCATGGATATAAATGGGGGGCTAGTGGAACTAATGTTAAACCATATCAGATGTAAGAAAGATTTCATATAAATCGACATGCACAACAACTTATGGCAGTAACTCCTTTACTAGCATCCCCTTTTTCCATTTCTAGATCCATATCTACCAGTCAAAACTAGTTTTGACAGATTTCAGATTTTAACTGTACCATATACTTATAATATATAATTTATTATTTTATTTATTTTAGGCTGTTTGCAGTATGTTTGCGTTTATCATACGTTACCCATTAGCATCATTGTTTTATGAAGTATAATTTATTTGTAATATTTTTTGCATAAGCTATCCAACTTAAATTATGAAATTTATTTTATAAGCATAAACAAGTTACTGTATTTATAATAAAATGTTACCAATTACTTATTAGTTAAAAAAAATTAGTTTTTTTACTTATAAAATGTTCCATAAATAATTGTAAAATTTGAAAAAATATTAAGTTTATTATGTTTTTAAATAAACAATAAAACTTCTTAATAAACACTATATCACTGAAATTTTGTATATTGATTAACAATTATTTAATTAATATTAATAATATTTTTTTAGATGTCATAATGATAATTTATTAATGTTTAAAATTATTTTTTCATGTCATATTTATTATTTAAATAGTTATGGAAGGATTAAAACTAAAATTTAAAGCAATTCAGTTACTTCATATTGTATTAGACTATGGCATAAAGTAATTTCATACATAAATTAAATATACATATATAGATAGCTCATGCGTGTTGAAATACGGCAACCAAATATACAGGTATTTTGGACTCTGGTGGGTTGAACTACTTTTATGTAAGGAGCGAAGATTCTTACAAACCACCCACCCACCTGTTTTTTAAATACCCCTGCATACCAAAACTGCTCGTTTCGCTCACATTGTCACTATAAAACATATTGAGCAACTAATGTGTATAATTGTTTCCTTTTTTTATACTGAATTATTATTTAAATCCTATAAAAATATAGTATAATAGGTATAGTATTTTTCATGATGATTCATCATCACTTGTTTATGTAATTGGTAAATGTGAATAAAAGTAATACACGCTTAATAATAACGAAAAGCTTCATTGTAATGCTACAGCTACACACATACTTAATTTACTCAAGTCCCATCTTTATTGAACATCAATTAACAAAAACTATTAGCTAAATAAAACTTAATTTTTTAAACAACTGTACATATTATATACTGTAGGTACCTAATGTATAAGTGTATAAACAACATACTACACAACTACGTATTATACAGTAGGTACCTTAATATTATTATACTATATGTTTAGATATTATGTAGTCTATTGATGCTTGACGATTACAAAATAACAAATTTATTCTTCGTACAAGCAAAAGAGTACCCCGCTAATTATTAACCACCCACCCCTAAAATACTGATGGAGCGGCCGCTCCTTAAAAACATTGTCAACACGCCACCGGTCGTTAGTAATACCATTGATTAATGAATATTCTATTCTATAATCAATGGTAATACTAGAATTTGCGCAAGCGTATATTACATCACTGTATATTTAATCTGTGTACTCAAATTGTTCAATATCTGCATATCATTATATTTTATTATCCCAGAAAATGCTAGTACATATACGGGACAGGTAGAGTCACGGCCTTAGAAGATACGATCTACGACTGTGGTAAGGTGGATAAATCCATATTGGACCATGGGTACAATTCTCCCGATTTTTGATAAAAATTTATAACAGCGAACATGATGAGAACAAAAAAAAAGCGAATGCCAACCTCCAAAGTGTAAATAAAATCCAATTCCCGTTTCGTTTTCCAGCATATAAATGAATAAATAATTGATTTTATACCAATAGCAATTTTTCGAAAAATGTATACTGAGAAATGTTGTTTTCTATAAAATAAAACCCTGTTTAGTTAGTTTTTAATTAGTGAAGTTAGATTTTTATCGTTTATTATTTTAATTTAATTCATTAATTCATTTATTTTTCTAATGCTGGCACAATCATTCTCTCGAAATTGGATTTTCGTGATATTTCACTTTTATCAAAATCGGGAGAACTGTACCAGCACCGTGCATTGGAAACATTAATATTCTAACCTTGTTGGCAACACTGTAAGTTATAAACAAACCCGGCTTCTTGGTTTTCTGTTTATCAGAAACAAAACTTCATATTCGTAATTATAATAGTATTTGTAGTGTACATTTTTATGGCGAGTTTAGTTTTGTAGAATTATGCCAATGTGAAAATTTATTAATTATTTTTAATCATTAGAAAAAAAAAAAATTAAACATGAATAGTGGTATGTTATATGGTGGTGATGAAATTGGTGCATTGGTGTTTGATTTGGGCTCACAATCGTTTCGTATCGGTTATGCCCAAGAAGATACCCCAAAAGCAGAAATACCTGCTGTGGTCGGTATTTCAGACGATGGTACAGTGGATACTAGTATGCTGGAACCTGGAGTTAAACAAGGCAATCGTATCAATGAAAATACCAAATATTACATAGACATAAACTCTTTATGTGTTCCTCGTAAAGGTAAGTTATACATTACAAATTTTTAAAACATTTTATCAAACTATTTTGCTATAGGCATGGAAGTAGTGAGTTACATGAAAGATGGTATGATTGATGACTGGGATTTGTTCGAAAAAATATTGGATTACTCTTATTCAAAGTGCTTGCAAACTGATTCACAATACCACCCAGTATTATTTACTGAGTCTCCCTTAAATGTTAGATCAAAAAGAGAAAAGTTAGTAGAGTTAATGTTTGAAAAGTATAATGTACCAGCTACTTTTCTTGGTAAGAATGCTGTCTTAGCTGCATTTTCTTGTGGCCGTTCAACTGGTATTGTTGTGGACAGTGGAGCAACACATACTTCTGCAGTTCCTGTACATGATGGTTATGTTATACCTAGTGCTATTGTCAAATCTCCTTTGGGAGGAGATTTCATTAGCATGCAGTGTAGACAATATCTTAAAGAAAATGAAATTGAAGTAATTCCTCATTATATGGTTGCGTTAAAAGAACAAGTGAAGGAAAAAGAAAAACCCATTTGGACCAAAAAAAAGTTACTTCCTGAAGTTTCAAATTCTTGGCACAATTATATGTGTAAATCAGTTATTCAAGATTTTCAGCATTCTGTATTACAAGTATCTGAGTCTCCATATGATGAAAGAATAATTTCAGCTCTTCCAACATCTCATTTTGAATTCCCTAATGGC